TTTTTGTGATGATATTGTTGAAGACGACGGCTAGTCTGGTCTATGAGATTTTTTGCTTGGCCTATGACGAATCTCCGCATTTGTGTTATTCAGTTTTATACTACTTACTTGGTGATCAATCCAAAATTTGATTTTGCTAGTTTTGCTCAAAAGTCGAAATTCCCAATTCCAAATCTTCTCTCTCTCTCCTTTTCACACTGTTTTTGACATTTTTTTTTCGCGTCCACTGATTTGGAATTTATTGAATTTGCCTTTATTTTCAACGAATATTTATTTATATCTTTCCTTTCCATTCTGTCTTTTTTTTCGTCCTTTCCATTACTGTGTATCAAAAAGATATTAAAAATTGAAAATTTATATTGTTTTCTAATTTTGTGAAAAAAACATTGTTTTCTAACATGTTTCTTCCACAATATAACCATTGGTAATTTTGTAACGCTTGATAACTTTAAACTGTTGTGGTACACTATTTTTATTGTTATTAATCACAAAAATAATATCAAAAACATACTTTTTATATTATTTTTTCTTACAATTATTTAAATTTTTAGTTGATGTAACCATATGACATTCTCTCAAACAACTAAAAAATTCTTATTGTTTTATATCACCAATTGAACTCATAATCTCAGAAAGCTGTTATCGGTAATTAAATAATGCTTAATTTTCTTAAGCCGTTACTAGTTTTTTTATTTCAATGGTCCCTCTAATTATATAGTATTAATGAACAATTCAGCATAAAGAGCTTGTGAATCGTGGATTCAGACAAAACCATGTGCTTTATTGTTCGAAATCACCGACTTAAACGGTGTTAGAAATTAGACAAAATCTCGTTAATTAAAGAGTTACGTTCTGGGCCATTATGGGCCGGATTACGGTTAGGTTTCTCTTCCGGCCCTACCAGTATTCAGCAAATTCATAAACGGCTTCGTTTTAACGTTTCATCTCTCAGTCCCTCAGGATTTCGTCTTCTGGCTTCTCTTTCTACATGCAATGTTATCTTTCCTCGTCCACTCTGTTTTTTTTTGTGTGTGTGTATTAAGGAACATGAAGAATCCCTCCGGATTATAATATTTGGTCTTTAAAAGAGAGAGTAAATTTACCCTTTTTATGTTTTTTCTTCATTTTGTATGTGTGTGTGTGTTGCAACTTAGGTCGGGCAAAAAGTACTTATTATCAGCCTATTTGATTTTGAAGTTTAGTAATGTTGAATTCTGAATAG